ATAATAATAATAATAATAATGTCATCACAATGTCAGCACTGTATGTTTCCATACAATGGCGAAATTAGTCTCTGCATTTAACCCATCCACCACCAGGTGGTGCAGTGGGCAGCTATTGAAAGCGCCCGGGGGACATTTTGGGAATTAGACGTGCTGCCCAGAGACGCCACGTGATGTGCAGTGACTGGGGATCGAACCTGGGACTCTCGGGTCCCAAGCCGGCTGCCAAGATACGGGTACCATTTGGTTTTTTTTGTTGTTGTCATGGACAGTTTCATCATTTTGATTTTCAAATACATTTCTGCTGAATCACCATTCAAAAGCAATGAGCGATTTTCACAAGTTAATTTTTTAGTATGTTTCTCCTGTTGTTCCTTGACAGTTGTGTGAATGTTTATAAAGCATTCACACTATTATCCTGATGCATGCTCAATAATCCAGGTAGAAAAATCTAAAAAAGGTAAGTCTGGTCCTCTGGACGGGTTCAAAAAACAAAAAGTTGCAGAAACGTTTCGTCTTTCATCCAAAAGACTTCTTCAGTCTGAGGAGCTGTATTCAATAGCACCTTCTCATAGTTTGTTGTTGACATTCAAAACTAGCCGATCACGTGATCAAGGAGGACCATCAGCCTAACAGTGGATCGTTAGCACCCTGATGGCCTCAGGAAGTGAGGACTGAGCCTCCCAGACCAACTCGCCTCAGCCGCCTGAGGAAGTAGAGACTAGAGTACGGTAGTTGTTCTACCTTTTTAGCATTTTTTAGCTCGTTTCAACTCTTTTCAGAGAAATTCAACATTTTCATGGTAATTTCTGCGACTTTCAGCCTAATTAACATCATTCTGCTAATTTCAGCTTGTTATGCTCCTTTCAGCTTATTTCCGCTAGTTTCAGCTTTTTCTGCTATTTCAGCTACTCTTTAACTGTTTTTATGTTGGGCAGCTGTGGCTGTGGTTAGAGCAGTCGTCTTCCAATGCAAGGGTTCAAGTAGGTTTTACTGTACAGTATTATTATTTGCATCACGTGGTACATGAGGTGGAACAAAATTGTGTACACAGGGTCCCAGAAATAAAGCTTAAGGTGAGCAGAGTTGGGCATGGAGCCGATTCCAAAACTATCAAAAACTGGCCAGACTGAGGAAGTCTTTCAGATGAAAGGTTTCTACATTTTTTGTTGTTTTGCTTTGTTTTCTTTTTTGAATGTCCAGAGGACCAGATTTAATTTTTTTAATTTTTCTACCTGGATTATTGAGCATGCATCAGGATATCAAAAACTGGGTTATCACCGGGAGCCCGTGAAGCTGCAGCCCGGCTGAGCATGGCCGTCTTGGCAAGAGTTGGGGGTTCGATTCCACCAGGAGTCACATGCTGAAGTGTCCTTGGGCAAGACACTGAACCCCCTCATTGCCTCTGATGTGTGCCCCATCAGGGTATGAATGTGATAAAGCTCTGATTATTCTTTGTAGAGATAGTAGAGTGCTGTATGAATGGGTAAATGAGGCACAGATTGTGTTGTAAAGAGCTTTGAGTGTCTTGATAAGATAGAAAGGTGCTATATAAGTAGTCAATTTACCATTTTATGCAAAATTTTACATTTTCAGTTTATTACACATTCTTGGAGCTCATTTTAGCTGCTTCCTTCTAGTAGTTAAGATTATTTCTGCATTTTCAGCTACTTTTTTTTTGCTAGTTTCAGCTTTTTTAGCTGCTTTCCTAATTTCCCCCCCTCATTTCTGCTTATTAAACTTAGTTCAGCAAATATTTGTCCTTTCTGCTTTCTTATAAGTTAGGCTTGTTCATACATTTCAGCTATATTTCAGCATATCCTGATGCATGTTCAATAATCCAGGTGGAAAAAAAAAAATCGAACAAAATTAAATCAAATTGTCAGGTCCTCTGGATAGATTAAACAAATATACAAATAAAGTTCAGCATGTTTTTAGCTAATTTCAGCTGTTTTTCAGCAAGTTCTTCAGCAATAAGCATGCACATTGCATTTTAGCAATAAATGCAATTCCTCTAGTTGAGGTCGTTTTTAATTTCTTTAAAATGTAGATGATGTCCGCAAGGATTACCTGCGAGTTTATTTAAGGTGTTGTTCCCTGCTCGGAGAGCGAAGCCAATGAGAGTGGAGGGGGTTTCCCCACCCTTCCTCCACGCCGCAGCCAGGCTGCCCTCCCTCCACCACCGGCATTCCCAGTATGCACCGCGGACAGAGCAGCAGAAAATAGTCCGCCGCCGTGAAAAGGGAACCAGAAAAAGGGGGGTAGCGCACCAGCTAAATTCGCCAGCTAAACTGTTTGAACGCCACCCAACCGCTAACATGGCCGACAACGAGAAACTGGACAACCAGCGGCTGAAGAATTTCAAGAACAAGGGTCGAGATTTGGAGGTAAAAGTTGAGCAGATTTCGGTGTTTCTCCGCTGCTGCGTTCACGGCCAGCCTCGCTTCTCTCCCCTTGTGACGTCGTTTCTAATTTCCACCGTCCGTACCGCTGCTGCCAGAACCTGGTCAGGGCCTTCGCAGAGAACCCGCCGATGGTCGCTGGTGTTGGCAGAGTGATTTCTAGTTTGGCACCTCTGGGTTTTATGACACCAGGGAGACGGCATTGCTTTAAAAAAACGTGAAAAAAACCCTCCTCGGTTGGTAATGGCAGGCCCGCGGGAAAAGGAGGAGGGGGGGCATGCTAGATCAGATGAAGTACCCCCCCACCCACCCAGAGTCGGTGTATCTCGGTGCTTAATGTCAAACATCAAAGTAAAACTGCCCCAGTTGACTTAAAACGTATAATCTTAGACTAATCCCGTTTTTGCTACGCTAACATGTTAGCAGATGAACACAATTCTGACACCGCGGTAAGCTAACCAGCGTGCTAGCTTAGCTTCGGTTGCAGTTCCACCCATCCCCCGTCTTTACGCTCAAAAACAATGGCGGAAAACGGTTAGCCTCGTTACAAACCGGCTACCTGGACTTAAACTTTATGTATGATGTTAACATAAAAAAAAACCTAACACTAATCGTACCCTGGAATTAGTACTGGCCCTATGTCCACTCTCATGACATGATAGATCGCGCCGTGACGATACGCTTCATGCTAGCTCTAGGTTAGCAAAGATGTCAGATCAATAATGCGTGATTTACAGTCAGCCCAACGTGTCAGGCGAGCTGGAGGGGTCGATGGTGGTCTCAGGCAGGCCGGTTTCACTGACGCTGTTCATTAGCAAAATACCCACACATCCAGTCTGACAAGTCCGTGCTTTCACTTGAGAGGTTCAGGCCTCGAAAGTCGTGTATCAATAACTTTAGCAGTAAGTATGGTGGAAGGTTGAGGGTGAACACACCCTGATCCATAATCTAGCATGAACTGAAATATATGTCAACGCCATAATTATATTGTACCATTATGTTAAGGTTTTAATTACATGACCACCACCACATAACATCATGCTAGCACAACGTTTAATGTTCTGTATTGAAATTCATCTACTTAATGAGTAAATATTTTAAAAGCACATTTCATGGTAAATTACGTATTGAGGACGTATTTTTTTAGGTTTAAAGCATGATTAAATTAAATGTTTTTCTTGATGTGATCATTAGATAAGCTGCTGAAAAAAAAAAAAAACGCCATCCATTTGGATGGTTTCATCTCAGAAGTATTTGCTCATTTAAGCACTTGCATTATTATCGTTTTAAGTGTTAAGTTTAGCAGATGAGAGAGAACACAAGTTGATAACCATTTGTTAGCATGTAACATTTGCATAATGTTCCATTTCTGGAGCTTAACTGATATGTTACAAGGAGATAAACAAAAAATAAAATACAATTATTTGCCTCACCTTTTCTCCCTTTTTTAATGCACGGTAGATTTATTATCGCCATAACGGTACTCAATTTCAATATTGCTGTAATTAGCAGACTAAAACTGGATGGCAATTGTGTATTTTGCAATCAGATGGATTCCCAGTATTCTAAATTGAAACAGATAACACATTAGAGTGTTGGGATGTTGGTAAAATAATAAAAAAAGAGTGAAGATTATGTGAGTTTATAACTGATATTGTCATTGTAATATTCAACAAAAACATTGCAGTTCTGATACCTGATAGTTCCGGGCCTTTTGACCCTTTGTTAAATTCACCAGCAAGATGTATCGGTAGTCTTGACACTCGTCCACACATCTAAACACATGATTAGGCATCAAACTGTCCTTTTGGTGGCATCATCTAGTCCACTGAGGCAACGAGTGGCATCTAAAGTTGTCTTTGCACTGTGTAACATTTTATGAGTATGTTCTCTTTTCTGTTGATCAATTAAAAACCAACTGCAACAATTTCCATTTGGTCTTTTAATAAAATTTCCATTTGGTCTTTTAATAAAGCGTTGCTAATTCAGTATTTGGACTTTTGGTAATGCTGAAATGTGCAAGTTTCTACATATTAAATATCCCTGATCAGTATTTTTGAGATTGTTAAAAGATTTTGTAGCAAATACAGTAACTAAAATGTAGTGGTGGGAGAAATTGAAGAAACAATCATGTGAATTGTTGCAGAAACGTAAGCTTGGCTAAATTTGTTTTTGGGTGTCTGTAGTTATCAAATACTGAGTGTGTGAGCTGTAGACTTCATGTTTGAGGTGTGATTGACTGCTTTTATAAATTGCCACCTAGTCAGTAGACAGTGCTCTTATTTCATTAGATTTTTTTAAATGATGATTATATGCCATGTTTTTCACAGACTATGAGAAGGCAGAGGACCGAAGTCGTAGTGGAGCTCAGAAAGGTAATTACACTTGCATCATTGTATCATCAGCTTTAGAGACGTAATAAGTTTGTTTGCTTTTTAGCTGCATATGATTTTTAACGTAATGAAATGCAGAAATATGTATAAAGTAATATCTCTGCTTCTCGTATCACAGAACAAAAGAGACGAGCACCTCCTGAAGAGGAGGAACGTGCCTCATGAAGACATCTGCGAGGACTCTGATGTAGATGGAGATTTCAGATCAGTATGTTTTTTTTTTCTTCGTTGTTTTGTAATTTGCCTCATTCTTAAAAAAAGCCTTCTTGTTAAGCTCTTTTTATATTTATATGTATGCTTTCTTACTCTTTGTTGCTCTGTTGAAATGGAGTGTAGTCCAGGCAGGACTGCTGACCATCATCGACGGAGTTAATCTCTTAAATGAAAGGGGGAATATATACACCTGCTTAATTCATCTTTGTCATATTCACATACTTGATCTTGGCATTGAAACAGCCGTGTATGCTACTCATTGATGGGACCGAGCTGCATCTGTCTTAATTGGTGCTTAAATGTTGCACAAGCACCACCTTTTTTCTGATCTGAATTTATGAGTGAATGATGGGCTCCTGCAGGACTTGAAGATAAGCTGAAGAGCAGAAAAACATCTAAAACATTCTGGACAGTGGCCCTCGAGAAACGGGGTTGGACACCACTGAAAATATAATTCAGAAGTCCCATTTTCACCAAAGATCTCATGGTTTGGTGGCCTGTCAGAATTAAAGCATCCACTCAGCTGTTGAAATTTATTCCAGGAAACCACTTCATGGTGTTGATAAAGGGGCAGCCTATCATCTACATTCTGCTGGACTTGGTCAAAGACAATATGGCGTTTTGCTGCTGTTTTTTAACTCATTGGTTCTGCACTACACTGCATCAGTTAATTGCCTGCCCACTGCTGGTACCCACCCCCACTCAGTCCGGGTTTATGGGGCCACCTTGTTCGTGGTTCCAGACTGCTTTGAGGTTCTGATTTTGACGTAAGCAGACGGCAGCCGTTGATTGGCCAGCGGAGCTACGTCACTGGATGACTCGCCCAGAAAGGTGGATGGTGCAACATGGCTACACCCGGACTTGTAAGCAGTGCCAGGATAAGCTAAAGCAATTGGAGTTTGATTATAGGGCGATTACGGACCACAATGGGCAGTGTGGCTCGAACACAATGATCAGTTATGATACCGTCCACTCTACATTGACAATCTTGCCCAAAGTGCGGGGAAAAAAGTCACAGTCGCAAATCACCTACACCTGAGGAAAAACTGATAAGACGACAGCCGAGTATAACGTCCCATAGGTAGCTTTCATCAATGAACGCTACCTATGGGACAGATCTGGTTGGCAGGTCACAGACTGAATAAGTCTTCTGGATGGAAGATGAAACGTTTCTCCCTTAAAGAAGCTGGTCCAGATGACGATTTAAACTTTTGTTATCTACCTGGATGACTGCGTTTACAACCTTTTTTCTGAGCTTTAGAGGGGCTTTCGTGGAAATTGTGCTGTTCGAGTTTGAATTTTTATAAACAAGTGATTGCTGTGTGTAGGGCTGGGTACCTTTTCTAAAAAAAAAAAATAATAATCTGTGTCTGTACCTTCACTTCGGTGTTGGTTCCTAGACTGTTTTTCGGTACCAGTTTTGTAATTAATATGAATTGTAACAAGAAGAAAATTACATTACACATTACAGTACAATTTGTTTTATTTTTTAACTTTGGTATTTTTCCATTCCAAGCAGTTTTCTTACATAAAAATAAACAATTTCTAGGTCAAAAGAACAGTTGCAAACCAGTGACCCATCAGTGTCCAATGTTCACTGCTACACACCGAGGACCTTTTCACTTAACAGTTTATATTCAGAAACAACATGTCTGCTTTCTCTGGACACAAACAAGTCTGCTCCTGGCTGATGGTGTCTCCAGCAGTAGAAAATGTTCACTCTAAGGGTGTGGATGATGCTTGTTGCACACACAGATACCTAGTTGTCAGTTTTGACAGCATTGGCATAGTGTCCCTCACATTCCACCAGCAGGTCACTGGATTCACTGAGGTTAGGGCTGATGCTGACTTCTGTACCTCCGTGTCTCTTCCTGAATCTTCTCTGTGGTTCTCTGGGGTTTAGGGCTCTTATCATCTCCCTAATTGACATTAGAACACAAAACATCAACAATAACATGGTTGTGTTCTTATTGCTCAAAAAACATTATCTAGGCTGAGAGATAAAAGCTTAAAGCCCCCAGTATACTCCCACGTACGTCAGTTCACGCTTCATACTCGAGCGTACACCCAGAGCAGCTTCACAGAAAAGGGGCGTTTACCTTGGGACAAATTGAGTTTGCTGATTGGTCATTTGCTGACACGCCTACTGGATTGATTGACAGGTCGGGGGGAACGAGTGCTGGCAGCCTCAGCCGCAGCGATGTTCTGTGTTTATATGTTGTTAATAAAAAGATCTAAAAAATAAAAAAAACAGGGAGCGCTGGCTCTGCAGCCCACACATCAGACCAGCCCACCAGGAAATCTCCAGACCCTCTCGCAGCCATGCTGGACCTGAGTTTAATTCGCTCGTGACAAATTCCTTCATTTCTCACCATTTCAGTCATGGCATCAACGGAGGAGGAAGAGATCACTTGCTTCTTGGACAAAGAAAATGCCAGATCAGGGATGAAAAAGGGGAATTTAATACATTGGTGTTGCATACAAAACAGTCTTGTCACTGGGCAGTTCATTGTGCGACACCGCGTATGAGGTCTTAAAAATTGAGCTTTGCACGTACATGCCCTGGGGGGTATGCTCGTACCTCCACGTATGGACGTACGCGTGAGTATACTGGGGGCTTAACTGGTCAACAATATCCTTACAGCTTACTTACCTCCACCATGCAGCCTCCACTGTAGTTAAAAGCAGCAAACTTTAACAACAAAGTTTGTGACTGTCCTGTGGCCCCCACGTCACTTTTCTTTTATCAGCCTCTGTCCTCCTCATATCGGGGTCAGAACCTCCTGTGAGGAGAACATTAACATAAACAGTGAGCATTAGGGGAACTGTTTAACCAGCTGACCTGATGGATGAGCACATTTTTACAAGCTTCGTTCGTTACTGTCAATCTTTAGTTAGCTCCTGAGTTTAGCTAGCTACGTAGATAAAATAAAGCTACACACTAATATCTTAAAGTTAGCGTTACATGGATCCCAGTTTAACTTTGTGATGCACGTGTTAAGCTGCAGTAACGTTAACAAACGTAAACTTACCAGCTGAAGTCCCACGCACAGCTCTGTCCTCGGGAGTTCTTTGATGAAGAGGAGTCCGGTCGTGGAGATAATGAATCGGGCCGTTCATGCTCTCTAACGCTCACTTTAATGAGAGAGATGGGGGGAGGCCGCGGTCCCCCTTGAAGACAAACACGGAGTAACTTTCCACTCGTAAATTGAAGCCGTTCGACACCACACGCGCTGCACAAGTGAACCACGTCTGTGGGCGTAACCAGCGCGTCATATGTCTGTTTTACCTGCCTGCATGCTGAAATCACGTGACACGTTACAGCCAATACCGAAACTTGACACAGAAAAAAGAGTGACGTTTCAGTCCATACACCGACCGACGCAGTTTGGTCAGTGCCATAAAAGAACCTCGGTTCAGTATACAGCCTAGCGGCCACAACAATAACACCGATTATGCTTCCTGGGGGACATTAGTAGTACGGTAGTTTCTTCTTGTTTGTGGACATTTTATAAAATAAGAATTTTGAGTTCTTCTTTCCCTATTCGAGGGCTGAGATGGGGTAGAGGCAGGGCAGCCGACCCGGGACCCGAAGGTTCTAGGCTCGATCCCCAGTCATCTCGTGCTGTCTCTGAGCAGGACACCTTATCCCCAATAGCTCCCTGGGAGCCCCCATTAGCTGCCCACTGCTCCACCTGGGGATGAATGGGTTAAATGCAGAGCGCCAATTTCACCATTGTATGGGAGCATACAATGATGACAACACATAACACATTATTGTTATTATAATTATTTATGAAATTTCAGCCCATCCATCCATCATTTTTACATGGGGGTCACTGGTGCTCATCCAGCAGTCACTGTGCAAGATGCAGGGGACACCCTGGACAAGTCTCCAGTCCATCACAGGGACACACGGAGACAAACGAGACAACCATTCACTCTCACTCGCACCTAGGGACAATTTAGAGTTACCAATCAGACTAACATGCATGTTTTTGGTCTGTGGGAGGAAACTGGAGTACTCGGAGGAAACTCGCGCAAATGTCCCCTAGCCAGGATTTGATCTGGCGACCTCACTGAGAGGCGGCTGCTCTACCAACTTTGCCACATTGCCAGATCCACCCTTTGCTCAAGTGTTCCAGTTTCCTGATAAAGTTAGAAATCCGTTCCACACGAGGAATGTTAATACACAAGTACATTTAAACAAAATTTCCTTGAAAGTTCATGCGTGTTCCTGTGCAGCGTTGCGTTTGAATGTCTGCTGAAGCGTCTTCTGTTGAGCAGGATCATTCAATCAGAGGCAGCTAATGCTTATCAGAGACGTGAGCCATCCTCGAGGAGATTATAGTCAAATAGTGATGGGATGTGATCATTGGGTTTGTCCTGCAGAGGCGTTTATGTACATTTGGTGTTCTGTTGGTAAATTGTCAGCTCCGTCTTGTCTGGTAAGCTGACATTGCACCACAGCTGAATTCATGTGGAAGTAAAAGCTACTTTATCTGTTTTAATGGCATTTTCTAACCCCGGTCTCCTTCCTGTTTTTGATTTTAGCAACTGTCATTTGCTGAGAATGATTTGTTTACAATAAGCTGTTCAGCAGGAAATGCTCTTAACTTTTCATTGTTGTCTCTTTAAGAGGCATTTTGTTTTTTGTCACTGAATTGTGACTTAATTTGGGAACTAATCAGTAAAATTTTATTTTGCAGCAAAACACCTCTCTTGAAGCAATAGTACAAGTAAGTTACTTTATTTCTCTCCATTATATGAAATTTCTGAATTTGTCTAAACTTCACTTTCTTAATTCTTCATTTGACTTATTTTAATGATTACCAGTACTAACTATATATATATATATATATATATATATATATATATATATATATATAT